GAGCCAGCAGTGCCTCAATGGGGCTTCCTTCCAGAGGAAGTTCCTTCCGGTGACCGTCGTGATGGAAACTGCATGTCTTTGTCTGAGGATGATGCTGAGCTGAGCTCGGCTTTACACGTGTCTTCTAGAGTCAGACCCACCAGACCCAAGTAAAAGCAAGACATTAATTTCAAGACAGTGACAGACCAGTGCTATGGGAAGCTATGAGAGCAGGTACGTCCGAACACCATCCAAAGGCCATGTGCAGAGGCCAACTTTCTCCTAGGGGTCTTAGTCTGTTCCGGATGCTACAACAAAATGCCACGGACCGGGTGGCATATAAACAATAAGCATTTCTTTCTCACAGGTCTGCGGGCTGGAAGTCCAAGATCGAGGTGCCACTGTGGTTAGTCCTGGGGAAGGCCCTCTTCTGGGTGTGTCCTCACATGGCAGAAAGGGCAAGGGATCTCTCTGGAGCCTCTCTTACCAAGGTACCTTCCCATCCCGAGGGCTCCACTCTCATGACCTAAGTACCTCCCAAAGGCCTCAGCTTCTAGTACGATCACATTGGGCATTAGGATTCCAACATATGAATGGGGTGGGGGACACACTGAGACCACAGCACTAGGCTCTGGAAGAGAGTGACCAGTTTGGAGAGGATACTCCAATGCTCACTAGTCACGTGGTCCTGATAAGCCTCCACCTCTCTGAACTTTGCATAGTCAGGATGCTTGGACGCTTCCTCAGTCCACACCTCATGGTGGAGCAGAAACTCAACAGGCTGGAGAATAAAAAGTGAAGGACTTGACAGGCCAGCTTTTTACTTGCCACTACTCTGTATGTGTCCTCCTCTCTCTAATGGGTGTTTTCTTACAGCCCCTTTCTCTCATCACTTGACTTTCTGGTCTCATCCCTTCTCTAATTGAAGACCAGCCATAGTTTCTAGGGAGTGGTTCCAACATTCCACAAGATATCCATGTTGTCTTGTGACTTTCCAGTTCCACTTTCCCACTGTCCAATTATCCTCAACTATGTTTCCCATTCCATTTATGACCCTAGCATTATAAAGAAATCAATGGGTATGAAAAGTCTAGTAAGGGATTGATAGAAGAGCCTGGGGGTAGACTTGGGATTTTATACCCAGTGCATCTTATCACACGGTTGCCCTTTCAGGAAGTTTTAACCCCTTCAGTTCTTGCATCCTCATCCACACGATGAAGATTCTTAAAGCCTTCTCTGCAGGGCAAGTAAGCAGATGAGGCACAGGATGCCTCTAGCACATCACTCCCCAGGTAGGCCTTCCACGGACCATGGGCTTAGCTCTTCTTCTAATCTTTGTAGAAAACCAGTGACTAAGGGCGCCTGGGTGGCTCAGTCAGTTAAGCATCTGACTCTTCGGCTCAGGCCATGATCTCATAGTTTGTGAGTTCAAGCCCTGCATCAGGCGGACCATGTGGAACCTGCTTGGGATTCTCTCTCTCCCTCTCTCTCTGTCCCTCCTCCACTTTCTCTCTCTCTCTCTCAAAATAAATAAATACACTTAAAAAAAAAAAGAAAAGCAGTGACTACATCGACAATGAACTGATGTATACCGTAATAATCACTAGTAATTAACAACAACAAAAAAACTATGGGCACACAGCAACTTATAGAAGTTCTTTCCTTTGATTAAAAAAAGAGCATTTCAAATATGCCAAGTAACTTAACTGGTAATTTAACAATTTAAATTGCCATCAGTAGTGGCCTCTTGAATTTCATAATAAATATGCGATAAATCCTCAAAAACAGAATTCTACTTTCCGTCTGAGTATAGGACTATTTTGTTTTAGAGAGGAGAATATCCCTACGTCTAACTTCACAGAAGCCTATATGATTTTTGTGAAGGAGAATGAGACAAGTAAAATTCCAGCTACTTTTTCCCAGAGAATGCCCCTCCTCTTCCTCTGCTTTTTTAAAAAGCACCAAGCAAGGTCAAAGCCTGGCTCCACTGGGCTGCACGGCGGGTCTCATTACCGCCGCTGGCTTCCCTGGCTCCTGGGGAGACCTTGCTCAAGGTCAGCTGAGCCGGCTTTGGGAGAGCCACACCTGACTGTACCGGTGGAACTTGAGCTCTGAGTCATTTGCTTGGCAAAGAGCTGATCTGGGAAAAGGCAAAAAGTCAGAGATGCTGGCGTGAAAGGCGGATGAGTCATGGACAAGGAACAAATCTTTCGTTAGGGAGGACCAGCGTTAGGAGACACTAAAATGGAGAAACAGCGGTTTGGGGAAAACTAGCGTGGATTTTTGGTCAGGAGCATTTAACACACACAAAAAGCAGGCCAAGGTCGCTTTTGCTCCCGGCAATGTCTCAAGTACCCAGCACTCACACTACGAAGGAACAAAAATCTGTGCCAGAGAAGTTTTGGAAAAGGAAGCTTTCCAGGCGAAACTGCCTTTATCAGTTGCTTAAGTTTGATTCCAATAATAAGAAACTAAAACACTGTAACTTATTTCCTCAAATTGTAATCACATGGATAATGCATAGAAACCGTTTGTTTCTTTCACGGTGACTTACATAAACATTATACAGGGGGTTTCATATTCTAGACCGAAAAAACTCAAAAGTTTAACCAAGAGAACACTGCAAGGTCATTTTATGCCTTTCTTTTCTTTTTTGGTTTCCTTGAGTAAGGAACCATGTTTTAAAAAGACACACCTTGTACTCTTAAAAACAACGTAATCTTAAACGCACGTCTTGAGTAATAGTGAAAAACACGAATGACAAGATTAGTACCTAGGTCTCCATAGGGTTACTTATCTCTATTTCAAGAACGCAGAACAAAACAAAGTTTTAATACACTTCAAATGCAAAAACCACCCCAAACAGTTGAACACATTTGGATGGCGAGACAAGAAACTATGCTTTTCAACAACAATCTTTTAGAGCCCTTTTGAAGTAAATGTTTCCATCTTATTTACGGGAAAACCAGCAGAAAAACAACTGAAATCAGCTTGTGTACAATTAACTGACTTAGACACAGGGCCAAGAGTTAGTGTCTCCAACCCAGGCGACATCGCATTAATGAGTCAACGTGGCTGAATCCTTTCTCATCTCTCCCATGCAGGACGTCAGCTAAATGAGAATATTGACAAATATCGACAAACTCAAGATGGTTATGCCGGGGACAGTAACTGCCTGTCTTCTCCGGAATCTGTCTGGAAGGGAGAAAGGACGTTCCTTCACTTCTTGCATGCCTCTGCGGAACCAGGCACTCCCACAGCTATGTCCTTGGCCCTCTCCAAACCCCTACTAGCTTGCTGTTATCTTAGCTGGCATGTGGGCAACTGAGGCTCAGAGAAGTAAAGTCCGTTCGCAGGGTTGGTAAGCAGTGGAGCTGAGTTCACACTCGTGTCTACTCAACCCCTCAGTGTTTTCCTGGCTACCAGGGTCGCAAATTCACCTGCTCTCAGGAGTGAGCCCCCTGGGCATTAACATCACACGGCGGTGTCTGAAAAAAACACAGGAGCTGGGAATCATAAAAGGGACCCACAGGCCCATTGGTGGGGGGCCTGCTTTTAGCACCAGAAAACCCCCTCCCTTGTGGGCACATCGGGATGGGTGGGCTCCTCGAATGAGGCTGAGTGGAGAACACGGGCCCTGCTGGAGGCACTCCCTATGAAATCCTGTGTGCAGGGGCAGTTTTGCAATCTCAGACCTGGGGATGGAGGGCGTGGAGTTCGTTCCAGCCAACAGGAGCCTAGGGCTTTCCTCTCAGCACTTCTTAGATCCGGGATAAGAAGATAAGGTAATATGGTGATGGATTTCAGGGCATATCGCTGGGGGGCACTGTTGGCTTTTTCCGTAATGCCTCTCTCTCCACAGATGGCAGGATTCCACCTGGCACAGGCCGGTTCTTACCTGTCAGCCTAAATTAGATTCTGAAGTTCCTGGACAGTGGTACCGTCTACCCAACAATGTCATGCATAATGCAGTAATAATAAACTACAGAATGCATGACATACTATACGGGCAATGGCCCAATGCATATGGATGCTGGGAAAGAGGCTTGAGGAAGGCTGTCAATCAAATGGGAGCTTGTGGCCACTTGGGAATATGGCGCTGAGGTGAAGACTGTGCTCTCGTGACGTCTGTGCCTTAAGTGACTGCGGACATCAGTTAACTGGAGAGCTGTCTCTCAACTTCCTAAACATTCCCAATGTCCTCGTTTGGTGATACCGAACTCTCAGCCCCTCTGGGAAAGGGAGGAACCACCTGGACCCTGACCACTGTTCATCCACGTCCTTGCTTCCTTCGGGGGAAAATGGGTCTGGTTCTAGGATGTTTCCAGGCTCTCCATCAGCTCTGGAGACCAGGAAAGAATCCTGGGGTGGTGCGAACGCGGGACGAAATGCCCAGCAGTCTCTTCATGAAGCACGCACATTTCCATAGCCGTTGGCTATCTGCCAACACTTGCCCCCAGCCTTCTCGGTCTGTCCCTTGGCTGGCCATTGGGTTCTGGCCTCTTGACATGGCCTCCTTTGGGAGCCATCCTGCAAAACTCTCTCTCCCCAAAACTCCCAGGGCACTTAATGCTGGCCCTACACCATTCGGCCTCTCAGAAAACACCATTTCATTCCCCGACCATAGACCGTGTACTTTTCATTAAAGTACAAAGATGTTCACTTTTTAATGTTGCCTTCAAACCCACGCACTGACAAGTAGCTGGTCACTGATTATTGGTAAATACAACACGGCCTTTGAAAAAACCGTCACTACTAAGCAAATACATAGAAGACACATCATGGAATCCCTTGGAAAAGCAAAAGTAAATCAAGGTTACTGTTACTTTTAGTCCTGGTAGAGACCCCCAAGACAGGGGCTCCTTGTTTTTCTTTGTCTTTTTTTCTTTTTTGGTCAGACAGCAAAATGTCTGAAACCTCAGCCTCTCAGCCTCTTTGTCTTAATGTAATAATGTCACAGGTTTTCAGAGAGAATCAATACCTTCTGCTCAGAACGGGTCCAAATGAAGCAATGTACTTACTTGGAAGAGGAATGAGTATTTTATGGACGGTAGGCAGAAGTCACAGGGAATCCTTTCTACCTTAAGCTACTCTCTGCAGCATGCAGTATCTGAAAATAGAGAAAAAAACTGCTATTGCTTTTTTATTTGACAGAAATAGGCAGGCTACTAGATATATATAGCAATGGAAAATGATGCTTCTTTTAAAAATGGGCGCACGAATTAGAAAAACAAAACAAAACAGATAACAAACAGGTAGGTACACTAAAATGTGTCAGTTCTCACACACTTCACTTAGAGGCGAAGGGTTTTTTGCTCACCTCAGCTACGCTTGTAAGGAGACATGTAACCATGGGCGGCAATTATATAGCAGAACCTGCACGCTGAGTTGTGAGGAGGCACATACATAAAGGCGGACAGGACGTCATCTCATTTCTGGAACTGCTGCCCTGCACATCCCGAGTCTGAGTCTACCCAAGGTCTGACAGGGTGTTCGCATGGCAAATGGCCTCAGGGCCATCTGGTTGACCCCCACCCCTTCAGAACAGGAAACAGGCCCGCTCAGGTAAGGGGCTTCGCAAAAACCACTCAGCTGGCTGGGGCAGAGCTCCAGGAGTACCCCTACCTGCACTGTCAAGCCCCCATGATAGTATTCATTCATTCATTCACTCGTTCGTTCATTCATTTTCAAGTACTGGCAGACCACTTTCTATGAACCAAGTTCTGCTCTAGGCTCTGTGGGTGAAGGGAAAAATGTCTGACCTCAGCGTCTCCATTCCAGTGAGGGGAGACTATATTCTCAGAATGTCCCGCTACCATGGCGGCTGGAGACATCTGAAGGCAGCGGGGGAGAGCTAGCCAGGGGTCTACTGGGCGAGGCACATTCCAGGCAGAGGGGGCAGCCAGGGCCCTGAGGCACAAGGAGCCCAGGAGGCTGCTAGGACTGGAGCAGGGGACACGCGGGGACCCAAAAGTAGTGGCTAAGTCTGTGGCAATGGACGAACCAACCAGTGGAAAGCAGGTGTCAGAGAAGCTGATGAAGCACAGAACTTTGGAGGGTACCTACTTAACAGGTGGGCAGAAAAGAAGGAGCCTGGAAAGAAACAGTTCAAGACAAGAGAAGAATGGAAGGGGGCTGTTTCCCAGAGGCCAGCAGGCCAGCTCCCAGCTGCTGCCTCTGGTGGTCAGCTCTGAAGGAGAATACGCCCAACACAGAGAGTAGCAGTAGAGCGAAGGCAGAGGGAAGTCAAGGCTGCGATACGACAGATGTGAAAATGTGGATACGGAGGCCCGACTAGAGCAAAACACTGCAGAATGCTGACTGCAGGTCCCAAATATCGGAAACGCAGGCCCCGTATCCACGCAGACGGTTCACTGGTGGCAAGATCTAATGCAGACTTGTCCTTAAAGTGGACCTTCCCCCCACATTGGGCACGATTTAAAAGACGCCTAAATTCGATGAAATGTGTAAGGGAAGGAAAGCAGAAGGCCTCCATCACAGTAAGGCCAAAGGCAAGTGTTATCATCCACGCCCCAACTTTACAAGCCTGTCTTTAGTGAGCATCGACAAAATAAATGACTCCCACAAAAGAGTCCACAGGCCCCTTAGAGCAAAAGATGATTCCTGGCAAGGCACACGGCTGCAAAAGACATCACTGAATTGCTCGGGAGTACAACAGTAATGAAGGTATTTTGCGATTCCTTGAAGGTGGATTTTTATTTTTATTTTTATTTTTTATTTTTTTATTTATTTTTAAAAAAAATTTTTTTTTCAATGTTTATTTATTTTTGGGACAGAGAGAGACAGAGCATGAACGGGGGAGGGGCAGAGAGAGAGGGAGACACAGAATCGGAAACAGGCTCCAGGCTCCAGGCTCCGAGCCATCAGCCCACAGCCCAACACGTGGCTCGAACTCACGGACCGCGAGATCGTGACCTGGCTGAAGTCGGACGCTTAACCGACTGCGCCACCCAGGCGCCCCGAAGGTGGATTTTTAAATTACAAGGTACATTTAAATTACTGGATGCCTCAAAAAAGGCTTTTTTAAGTCCCATGTTATGTCAATCTACTAAAACATAAATACTTCCGTGCAACAATCCAGGGTGCATTCTGCAAAGGTGCAGAAGGAAAAAAAAAAAACAAAACGACGGTTTATCTTCGGGACGTTCATTACAGATCACAAATAGGACCACATAGTAAAACTGAAAGTCAATATAAGATACGGAACAGCCCTGTGGACCATGCCAACTCCTACAAGACATTAGCTCTGGTGGATGTGGTGCAAAGTGAGTGGCAATCAGAAAGTTCTGGATGGGGGGCCGGGCGTTACCATCTCTCTTCTCCTGAAGCCTTCCCTCCCTGCCCTTTCTCCTTGGGATCACCAAGCTAAACACCTCTGTTCTCCTCTTATTCCCTATTATTATTTATTTCACGGTCTTTCCTCTACCACAGAGCTGTGTCTTCTATCCTTGTCTCATGAATGCTTAGTGCAGAACCTGGCACTTGGTAGGTGCACATCATCACAGAGTAAAATAATAAAAAAAAATGAAATACACTTAAATGAGAGCCCTGTGTCTCTTCAAATATTTTTCCAACCCAGGCAGATCTGGGGGGGGGGGTCCAATCCTGAGATATTAATCACTTGCTAAGGACAGATGTCCCTTGCTTTTTGCCGTCACAGATGCCCAAGCATCCGGCCAGAAAGCCACCTCGAGGTGCCATACCACAACCTCACATCCAAGACCCTGTACGACACCTTGGTCTTTCTTTTCTGCAATTATTTTCAGGCTGCGATCAGCCCAGGGGCTTTGTGGCACATCCTATTCTACGTGGAATGACTTTTTGTTTTTAAACTCACTACCATGTTTTTCGGCTATGATTACGAGCCCCTAGGAGAAAAAGTCAGGAAGTAGCCCTTGATGTTTTAATTTAAAAAATTAGACATTTTATATTCTAGTTCATGCTAACGGACTTATTTCTGATTGGTCAGAAATGCCGTTCTCTCAGCAGTTAAAGAGCCACAGAATTACAAGGATGGGCAGAACAAAATTTTAAAGTGTCTAAGAAACTTATTTTTACTTTCTCATTTCAGAACTACATAAAGAATCCTCTGAGTGTAGTAAAAACAGGTTGTAATTGATCTGAAGATAAAAGTGTAGGTTTTGGTACTCTAAGAAAAGATGGCTGGCATTTTGTTTAGTGCTATTTGAAAAATGCCCCTTTAGTATATGTTAAAAGGCCCTTTGGGATATCATAGTACCTTACACAATATCCGTGCACATTTATAGTTACGTCACATTTTTAAGAAGTTCCTTCTAGACACAGAAAGTCTTTTAAGATCCACCCCTTGAGACTCAACGTCATTTACAACTATTTCCCACAGCTTCCCAAATGCTAAGTGGGGCTGTGTTCAAAAGGGAGGTTTACAACGGTTATGCAGGACAACAATAATTTACTCTTCAGGCAGCTTCCTTCTTGGAAATTCTGTAAGACTAAGGTGATTAAGGAGGGGTTTCGGGAGATCAGCAGAAGGAGAAGGAGGACAGGCAGTTATGGAGCCGCATCAATTTATTCTTGTGCAGATGAGTGTCCACGCCCACCTGTCAAATGCAGGTTATTTTCCACACCTGCAGCAGGAAGCATGTCAGGCAAAGGATGGAGGGCTGTAACTGGAGAGAGGGGTCAGGCCGTGTGAAGGACAGCACGATCACCGTAACCAACTGCGCTCCCGCCACGGCGACGCAACCTTCTGAAGTCAGAACCAGGCGTGGCTGGGGTCAGGGGAGTCCGAACAGGAAGTCAGAGCTCTCGGGAGGGCGACCCTTCCCACATTCATCCCGTCGCACGTGCTATCTTAAAACCAAAACGCTGCCACTGCCTGTAGTCACAGAGAGCCCCTGCCTTACAATGAGTGACTGCCAACCAAACTTTGTTATTTATAGATGACGCTGCATTACCATAAATGACCCCCTTTCTTGATATATTCTTTATTATTTTTTTTCTTAAAACTGTGATTTGGGAGAAATGTCACATTAGACAATTTATTACTACCTCCGGATAGACTAGGGAGGGGATCCGGGCGGTGGGGAGTGAAGCAGAGTTAGTATTCTGAAGTTTTCCTCTGCCTAAGAATATACGGAAGCCCTTCCCACCAGATCGTAGCTTTCAATCAAAGCAGTCATTTTAACAAAATACTTAAATGGCACTGTTTGGCTTTTCAGGAGCAGGGCAATAATTCCTGACAGCCTTCAGATATCAGCAGGGCTCTCCACTGATAGCAGACCAGACGCATGGTGGCAGCCAGCCAGCCGTGTGACTGGTGAGTCAATACACAAGTTTCTCTGGTCTCCACAGTCGGCGACGGTAAGGACATCAATTGTTAAGTTTGAGGACCAGATGATAACAAGGGGTTCTTCTGTATCAAACAGCTCTATGGCGAGGGTACGCTGAGAAACAAAAACTCACGCTGCGTTTGTCTGGGTATCTTGAAGCTCAGCCTTGGGCATTTAGATATTTTTCCTCCAGACTATACCACCTTTATTACACCATTTAAGATTATTTAGGGTTTGATTTGGAAAACAGTCCAGGCGACCATGAATAGAAATTTTCAAACGTCGTCAGACCTCAGTCAAAGTGGTCAGAACCCCACCTTTCTGTGATCTCCTTTCAACTCCGAAAGCAACGTGACATCCCTGTGAAACAAAAGCCCCGAGTGAAAAATTCTCTCTTTGGCACAGCTGAATACGCACCTCTACATATTTCTGGCACAATGGGATATGCTAATATTCTCCATATTAAAAAAGCTTAATGGGAACTACAAACAGTGAAACAAAGAAAGCCATCCAAAATGAAGGCTGCACACATCTTTGCAGAAACAATAGCACATTACTTCTGCGCCGACACCGGGAGAATCGCTCCCCCGTCCTCATTAAAGTGTGTTTCGCTGAACTCTCCTCGATTGCTCATTATTCATGAGAGTCTGGACTCCATGCAAACAAAGTCACCCGGCTACGGAAACGCACCTCCAAAGCCACCTAAATTGAGGCAACATCGGACTTTCCAAAACAGAAGAGAACCAATAAGAATCATCCCCCGCTACCTGCACTCTTGAATCCAGGTAAAAACAATATTCCTTCGTGAACAGGGGAGCTGTTTACCAGCCAAGCCTTCTCCAGGAGAACACATTACAGTCTGGGAAAGCTGGAGCACGCGTGATATTAACAAAAGCAAGATCAAATTAAAACGGAGGACATGACGAACGCACTTCATTTCACGCATGGCCCTGTTTTTCCCTGCGAGATAAAGCCTCAAAGTAATTACCATGAACTGAAACTTCTCCAGTGATCTCCGGGAGCCGGCAGCCGGTGCCTCCGACGAACTACAACAAAGACGGACACCTTCTCTCCGGTGCCTTCCTCCTCCTTTACTGTCAGCAGCCAAGCACCTCCGCCGTCGCAAGAACACAGTAGAGTATCTCTGTATCTATGTCTCCAATGCAGCATAAAGAGTACTGTGGAAACCTATCAAACTGGCGAGCAGCAGGGCGAGCAACCAATGAGGAGAGGCTCATGCAGAATCCAGCACATGCTCTCTGAGGCGCAGGCTGTCACCAGCGCTTAGCAGGCTGCTAATCTAATTATAGCTAGTTTGCTAGCACAGAGCTCTTGGAGCAAAAGCACAGGAGCAAATTGCATTTTAATAAATTAAGCCCCACAGACAAAAATCATCTTGATTTCCTGTCATTTTGAAGATGGATGCATCACCTCATAAACGAGAAGTGTTTCTTACAAGTGCATGCCTGTGTGCTCTCCAGTCTGGAGAAACAAAGAGTGGTGAAATCGATGTGCCGTGCCACCAGCTTCCTTCAACTTCACAGAAGCCAGCAGGGAGAAATAATAAAATCGATACCGTGAGGATATTAAAATCCAAGTCCTCTAAAATCTGCGCCTCACTTTATTTACCCTGGGTTAGCAATTTGCCACTCATTTGTCCTAAAGTGCTAATTAATCTCTCAATATCATTAGAAATACCACGCACGTTTGTGTCCATCGGGGAAAAGGGCCACTCAAGGTGTCAAAAGTCATAATCTTGATTCTCCTGATGAATAATAATTCAGAGTTACAAGGGATGGAAAAGGATTATCAGAAGTCATTATAAAAGCAAAAATTAAATAAATTTGCCCACCTCACGCTTTAACGGTAGAATCAGTTCTAGAAGCCAAATCCTGTCAGGGATGGTTTGATGCAAACCTAAAGGGCATGCGTCTAAGTGGCAAACTGGCTGGGTTGAAGTTCTGGATCAGCTATTTCCTACCTTTGTGACTGGGCAAGGGACTGGATTTCTCTGTGTCTCAGAGGCAATAATGCGAGACACCTTGCAGGATTATTGTCAATGGGCTATTAGCACTTAGCACGGGGACTGGCACACAGTGAGTTCTCATCAAGCTATTATTAATAGCAGCAATCTTTTCACGACGTCCTATTACCTACCTTCTTTTCCAGTATCACACTACTCTAAAAAAGTATCTAACCACTTCTCCACTGTGGAATTTTGTCAGAAACACCATTTAGAATTAACAGTGACAAGCTAATGGCAGACTTGATTCATCACAGAGAATCATTATTGTATGCACTCTAGTAACAAAAAAAAATATGACACCTCCTTCTTTTTGCCTATGCAATTGCTACAATTTCACTTGATTCTGTAAGAACCGATCTTAAAAGGACTTTTCAGGAAATTATGGGCATATAATTGTATTTCATTTACGACTTGCAATATGGATTATATGATATACATTTTGAAAGTGTTTTCTATGGAATATAAATTGGGGAAAGTTGGTAATGAGAAGTTTGATTAAATTTACTTTTTTTCATTTTTTTTTTAACATTTATTTATTTTTGAGACAGAGAGAGACAGAGCATGAACGGGGAAGGGTCAGAGAGAGAGGGAGACACAGAATCTGAGACAGGCTCCAGGCTCTGAGCTGTCAGCACAGAGCCCGACGCGGGGCTCGAACTCACGGACTGCGAGATCGTGACCTGAGGTGAAGTCGGCCGCTTAACCGACTGAGCCACCCAGGCGCCCCAGAAGTTTGACTGAATTTAAATTGACAAATTTATATGAGAAGGGGACAGGAGAGAAGTCAGCGAGTCAAAGGCAACTTTTGTCCCTGCGGCCTACTTACACATTTGTTTTCCCTGAAAGTCATTTCTTTCTTGTATGTTCCACAAAATTAACAATCCCGGGATGATATTTATCAAATCTGTTAATCTGTTCAGTGTTCTTTCAGTAATTCCCAGAAACTGCTATGTTCTACCAGTTAAATTCTGATCCGACGATACTGGGCAAGCTTCTCATTTCTATAGTTTTTATTTTGCTCTGCTTTTTATTTGAAAACCTTGATAGAAAGCTGACATTCTCAAAAGGCACTATGATTTGCTCTAAGGAACCAAATATCCCCAGGGATTAATCAGTGGCCATAGAAAAGGAATCCTGCCTAAGGATCATTTTTCATCCACCAGTCTTTGTGTCCCACAACCTGTTTGGGAAATAAGCTAGTGAAAGGGACGACATGGCCCATAAACTCCAAAGGAGAGCACAGAAACTCATGGCCCATCAACTTAAGAATGAAAAAGGGCGTAGAAACGTACACACAGACACAAAGTCGGGGGAAACATGATGGAGACAAGTCTGCTAAAGGAAAGTATTGCCACGTGCGTTACTTGGAAGCATCGACCACCGAATTATCAAAGCGCAATCAGCATCATCAGGAGCTAAAACTCCAAGAGGAATTGGCTTCAGTGATTTGGCCTAAGGCACAGCTCCCCAGAGGCTGCCAGGATACAGACTAGTAACACTTCCAGGCATTTATCTAGGAAACATCGAACAGCTCTGCCTTCCCCTTCATTTAACAGACTGCTAGCTCAAAAAAAGGCACTTTAAAAAGCTGTTTGATTAATTTCTCTCATGCCTGTTTTGTAGAAGCATTAAACAGACCCTTTCTGAGAGACGGAAGCGACTGTCCTTTCTTTGGTCTTATCTTTCCACGTGTTTAGAACCAATATTTGTTTGAAACTGGGTAACAGTTCATTGGTCATCTTTCTTACTGCCACTCTGCTGGGCGAGCCTATATATTTGGTTTTAACCTCCGGAACGAGCACTTTTGTCTTTGAACTTTTGTCAACTCGTCCTTGATTCTGAAAAGCCATTCGCCCCCTCAACGAACAATGCTTGGCACCTCCTGTGTGCAAAGACCTGCTGGACATTGACAACAGCGGCACAGGGAGGAGTCAGAGCATTCAGATTCTTAATGGAGCTTCCATTCTAATGAGGGAGATGAACATCAAGCGATTCATTAACAAATGAGCAACCATGATGGCGGTAAACCCTTGGGAAGCGCTGTGGGGGGGGGCAGGGGGTGCTGTGAAAGCATGTAAGTGGGGGGTGGGGTGACCGGTCTGTGGCTGGAGTGTGGGTGAGGGCCAGGGGTGTGTCAAGGTCCTGGAGAGGCTGGTGGGACTGGAGGGCAAAGGAGGGACTTGGAGACACAGCCGGAAACAGCATCCACCAGAGAAGGAAGGAAGGGAGTTTGGTCCAAGCCTTCTGAAAATATGACTGCTGATTTCCTTTTCAGTTCTTTCTAGAGTAAGAGGTTCCCACAATCTTCTAGGTCAAAACTTTCGCTTGCCCTGCCCTGTACAAAGAACAGAAACGTGTGCATCTCACATGTGCCACACTGGGCGAGGAGGAGCAGTCACGCACCACGGGCATCAACCTCCCTGAACGGAATCCCTCAATTCTGTTTTGATTCTCTAACCTTGGAGAATGAAGAGAGGAAAGTGTAAGCGTCGAGACTTTCCATTAGGAAGTCTCTAACTTTCTGTTAGAGTTTTCTTCTTCCCTTGGGAAAGAAACCAGAGTTCCCATACTAAAAATGATTCTTTCTAAGCCTATGGCTCCTAGATAACTTTAGACTGATCCGAGGTGTCTCTAGTTTGGTTGTTTGTCAGACTCCAACTTGCCGCAAGGGGTCCAGGAAAGCTGCTTCTGCTCTGAGGAACCAGATCCGGTTCCACCGTGGGGAGGGCTGCTCATAAGCTGGGCCTCCATGGCCAAGGATTCTCCCACTTGGCTGAGCGGAGCCGCAGCTCAGCTCTCCTCTCCCGGCTCTGCCAAGGGAAGGAGCAAGGACCAGCGGTTGACTGGTGGTCCGAGATGTGCCACGGATCCCAGCCCACGTGGAGTACGGGCTGGCCAGTATCAGAACAGCCAGCCTGGGATGGCGTGGCCCTGACCAGCCGCGTTTCCATCATGGGGTTTCAAGCCGCCAACCACCATGCAGTCGCCGTGCGTGGGACTGGGCAGAGATGCTAACAATCAGCCCCCCCCAGACCCTATGAAGGGCTTTAGCATACCACCGACTCCCAACTCCAAGGGAAAGAGAAGCACGCCCAGGCTGTGAAAGCCTCCTCTGGCTACCAGGGGTGGGACAGGTGATGGAACAGCATATGAGTAGTTAGTTTCCTTCTCTGTTCATAACACCCAAACACTGGCCTTCTTTCCTTCCTTCCTTCCTTCCTTCCTTCCTTCCTTCCTTCCTTCCTTCCCTCCTTCTCTTGCTTCCCTTCCTTCTTTCTTTTTAGAACGCAGCACATGGGTGCCTGAAGCAGGTGTAACATGGGCAGGCTGGGAAAGACCCAAACGGGCTGCTGGAAATTCCCCCACCCGTGCCAAAGACCAGGTGCGGTCCTCAGCACCCCCCTCTTCATTCGGATGCTTCGCACACTGCCCCGTGTGCCACGAAGTGACCCCGCGGTGCAAACAGGGCCTCCGACGTTCCTTCGTCCATCAACGCAGGATGCCGTCGTGTGAGTCGGCTCTCGGGGCCTCCTGGGAAGCCACCTGCTGAGGAAGATGATTATGTCTGGACGACCGTCTTGCCAGCCCTCGTAAGCAGCCAGCGTGAGTCTTCTCAGTGCGGCTCGGTTTCCAATCCAGCCGTGCATCCTGTAAGGTCTTCTCAAAGCCTTGTCTGTGCCATCGCCTTTGCTTGTCTTTCTTTTTCTCCGAACGATTCGTATTTTATAGTACCGGCGAAGACAGATGGGAAGGTAGGGGACAGTGAGACAGCTAAGGAGGTATGAATTTGCGGGGCGGCTAGCTCCAGAGAGACTCTGTCCTGGAGGCTGGCTGTGAATGGCTAGCTGTCGCTCGCAGAGTAAAGCCTTTCCGACATCCTCGCACTCTCGGCATCTATCCTGTCAACGAGGACCCAGGGCGGCCCAAACACCCTCGCGGAGGGACTTCACGGGATCCACAAGTGCATGGCTGGACAGCACCAGTCAGTAGTACTTGACCACAGCACTTGAACGGATTGTTTCCCAGGGGCCCCCTCTCCCCATTTCCTTGGGCCCGTTTCCTGCTGTATCCCTCTATAACAAACCTATGAGGCCCTGTCTGCTGTCAGCCTCTCTTCCAGTTTGCCACCCCAGCCCACCCAGCGGACCACCGAAGTTAAGGCTTTGGACTTTGACACGACTTAATCATAGGTCAACACTGCACGGGGATTAGCCCTATCATGCCGATTTAACCAAGAATGTAACTGGTTTCTCAGGCCCAGAGGTAAGAAGTCACTTGGGGGAAAAAGAGAACAAAGGATTCCTTAGGTATGGGACTAACCCTCAAAAAAGTTTCTACAGACAAAATTTACCTCTGCAATGTCCCATACCCTTTTGTACCGCACCCTGACCCCAAGGATGCCCAAGTACCAAGCGCCTACAACCATAGCAGGCCACGTAGGGCTGCCCAGCCCCCAAACCTCCTCGCGTTCTAAAACTAACCAGCCAGGACTTTGTCCTCCTACAGGAAAACGGGCCTCCTACGCCTGTTGCGCACAAGAAGTAACAAGTCTCCTGCCCTGGGGGTGAGCTCCTGCACCTGTTAAGAGGATGGTAACCTCAACATTCAGCGTGAATTAAGAAGAACCCACAGAGGTGCTTCCGCGCAGGTCCACGGGGTTAAGAAGAGAGCTGGGATACGGTAGTGCAAAAGGGGCTTTCCCTCCACCCCCCCAGACCTGAGAAACTAAACGATTAGGGTGACATAAGCAACTTTTGAAATTCCGATGCAAAAAGCACACTTCCGTGCCTAATGAACATCAGATTAAGAAAAATCGTCATAAGATGATTTCATTTTGCATCTAACTCACAAACACAACATTCTTAGGAAAGCATCTTTTCGATTCAGCTACTTCCTACAGCAGCCCATTTCCACCCAAATGATTGTTTCTTAATTATAAAGTCCAACAGTCAATTACAGGGAGTGTTAAAAGTATCTCAACGCACAGGAATTTAAGCATTGCATAATAACGCACAGGAATTTAAGCACTGCATAACAAAAGAACTTCTATATTCTCCAGAAACCAAAACTCCTACCTTCCTTTCACTTATATTTATATATGGTTACAAGTCAAACATGTTTTTTTTTTCCAGCCGATGAGGCAGAACGCACAAGGACATTTCATGCGTGTGTAAGTACATGTTGGTATCAGAACACACATGCGGACAGCAGGGAGGCTTGCACGAATGGACATTCGAGCAATTAAAAATTAATATCACTAAGAAACTTTAACAATAACAACAACATAACCATGGTGGTGGAATAAGACATCAGTGATCTATACCTTAATGGGAATGATTTTAAATAACCGATAAGAGGGGCGTCTGGGCGGCTCAGTTGGTTAAGCGTCCAGCTCTTGGTTTTGGCTCAGGTCATGATCTCACAGTTCGTGGGTTCAAGCCCCGAGTTGGGCTCTGTGCTGACAGCACGGAGCCTGCCTGGGATTCTCTCTCCCTCTCTCTCTGCCCCTCCCCCACGTGTGCTTTTTCCTCTCTCTCTCTCTCTCTCTCTCTCTCTCTCTCAAAGTAAATAAATAAACTTAAAAAAAATAAATAAATAACCAGTAAGATTAATCCTCAGCATTCTGACTTGTAGCCTTTAAGAAATGTAAGTTTAGGACAAGGAAGAGAGGGTTATTTGAAAACCTAAAAATAGTAAGGAGACATTGCCTCAGTAGCTCGAGAAATGTATATTGGGCCCCTACTTATGTGATCATGCCGCCTTCCTTGATGGAATTTACAGGTGAGGGAGGCAGTGAGCACCAGAGAGCTTGTTGGGAAGGAAGGGAAATCAGAAGGGGGAGCCACAAACTAGGACTTGCTCAGGAACTCCAGTTTGTTCCTATTTTGCTCCTTTTCTCGCTAAAATCATGTTTGTTCTTATACACAAAAAATGAATTACCCCGTGGGTATAATAATTAAATATTATTAAATAATCTTATATATCTCTCATATATATAGTTATTATATATAATAACAATAATGTCTAAACACATCACACATATCATGTATAATATATACACATAAATAATCTTATATAGAATAATATCATAAACTTTGAATTGGCTTGCAGTAATATTCCTAAGCATATTACCTTTTCTTCTGTTCTCAAATCATACCATGGTTTATGGACACTGACAGGCATCTTCTTGGATGTGAAGGTGTTTACCTTATCAACAATCTCTGTTCTACCAAAAGGACTCAGGCTTGGACTCTTTCTCTACTGACCATCGATAATTCCTACACAACTTTAAATTACAATAAATGGACTAACGTCCTAAATCGTAGCTTTGACTCCTAAAGCGGCATGCCTAAGTATTTCAGTTAAATGAAGCTTCCTATAATTGTAAACAGTTCTGCATAGTATCAGCCCCCGTTCTTGAGGGCATCTCTACAATTACCGTCCAAAAATCAAGGCATGTAATCTTGCATGACTGAAGCCTACTGCTATTTTAAGCAACAGCTTCAACGAATCACTTCAAGTATGTATCGCACGAAATGTTCATAATTATGTTTTAACGTTACTAACTTTGAAAGGTTACTTCATCCAAACAAGTATCATTTGTTATGAAATTCATCTGGGGTCTTTCTGAAACGTTTAAAGTTTCCTTTAAAGCCTAAGGATAGGTGTCTTGAAAGGGGTCATATGAAAACTTTGGAAGTTATATCCTCCTGAATGATAGTCTTTGGGGGAAATTATGTTGCTAGAATAACATCATCATGTACTTCTCACCTCCTATCCCATTACACTTTATACCAATCTACTCCTTTCCAGCTGGCCACCTTGGGTAAATTACTTAACTTCTCCATGCTTGAATGTTCTCATCTACAACATGAGGATGACATTATGTGGATTAAGTGAGTTAATATATACAACAAGCATTTAGAGAGTACCCAGCATTTTGTAAACATTAAGTTCTCCACACTTGGCTGATGGCAAAATTAAACATCCAGGCCAAATGATATTCATGTTATTAGAGAAACCGACCCTCTCTTAGAAAAAGAAGTATATAATATAAATGCATAATATATACATAAGTATATAATATAAATACATCATGCCCTGCGTGCAACCCAGAGGGGAAATGTGATACTGTTAAGAGCTTGTTGGTAACATCGAGAAATCCTGGAACTTAAATGAGCATGGCTTTTTTTTTTTCCCTGGGGGCAATGTGGGAAAATGTCTTGAAAATGTGACAAATGTGTATACCTTTACCCCTGGCCATTCACCATGGGGAAATCATCCTACAGACCATATGCAAAAATAAATTAGAAATAATTGAGGATATATGAAAAAATGTATAGAGTGATGGTATTTGTCATATCACAGTATCCCTTAGAGAGCCAAAAGAGAAAGGAAATCCCATTCAACAATAGCCAATTGGTTACATACATTATGGGGTGTAAAATTAATGGAATATTATACTGAATTTAAAAAATTTTTCTACTGTGCTATCACTAACATAAGTTATTTACTAAAGCTTTGTGTTTTTTTCCCACTCCCACCCAAGGAAAAGAAAAACCTAGGGTGGCCAGTGTTTAATGAGTAGAGCCCCTGTAATGTCTCGGCCTGGGGATTCTTGTTGCCCCCCTGCCCCGGTGGACAGATCTAGCCTACAGCCAGTCTGCAAGGTGCAACTCAGCCTTGCTAACCAGCAGGTGAGGAATCAGCCAGTAAGCAGCAGCCTCAGCAACCACGATTTTGATGAGCTAATTGTTCTCAGCCGTAAGTCAAACCATTAGAGTAGGAACCAAAAGTTCAGCCTGGATTGTCAGCCAATTTGCTGATGATTATTAGACATCAGGGCAAGCCTCTGCTGGCACTCACACAAGCGCTCATTGCTAAGTGCAGCTCAGATATTCCTTACCTTAGTTATTTGGATAATTCTCTCCTTTTATCTAAAAGCATTCTTACGTACTTGGAAGACATGGCCAGGTTCAGACGTCTGGAAAGAAGCCAGTAAGTTTAAGTGCTGTAGAAAATGGGAAATAATTTCTTTGGATATAAAGTTAGAAACATTAGCATGCTTCAAGATCGACTGGGACCTTGGCAGGTGTCTGAAGCTTTATGGATTATTGCTACTACAGCAGGAATCAAGTTTAAAATAAGGTAAAGCGAAACAATCCCCTTTTAGCGTGTCTGCCTAGATACTGTTTTTACTTTCACAGTTTAAAAAATCTTGTGAACCCTAGCTCAGTATCATTAATAGATAATGGTTCAATGGTTTTGTCAGAAAGACATTTCCATTTACACGTGTATATTTTAAAGATAATTTTATTACATCTAGGGACCAATTTTTTAAGTTCCACAATAGAAATTAATGTGCAAGTGGGATTTGTTTAAAAGAAATCTGCCTTGCAGCAACCTGAGCCCTATTCCATCTATATATACTATTAAGTGTGTAATTACCTGTAAAGTCAAGACTTTTTTTTTCCTGCTGAAAATAATCACCCCCAGTTTCTTTTTTGAGTGTTAAGTGGGTTTTTTTTAATGTTTATTTATTTTTGAGACAGAGAGAGACAGAGCGTGAGCAGGAGTGGGGCAGAGAGAGAGGGAGACACAGAATCCGAAGCGGGCTCCAGGCTCTGAGCCGTCAGCACAGAGCCCGACACGGGGCTCGAACTCACAAACCATGAGATCATGACCTGAGCCGAAGTCAGACACCCAACCCACTGAGCCACCCAGGCACCCCGAATGTTAAGTTTTTCATACACGGTGACCAGTTTCTGTATCTGGATTCCCTATTATGTCTCCTGTTCCTACTTCCAAATGTACACATTCTTTCCATGTTTTCTTTTAGAGCAAAGAAGCAATTTTTCATTACATAGTTAAAGGCAGTGGCAATAATTAGGGAACCTTTTCCTTTAACTCATGTTCCGCTCCTGGAGCGTTTCACCACTCAGTGATTTTAAGGAGAAAAAAATAACGTGTCCCTCAAGAATGAATAAGTTATTTGACGAGAAAGAATCTTCTGAAACTATGAACATCTGATGACTTTCTAAACAAACAAGCAAATCTGTGTTACTTACTTAAGGTTCTTTCTTGGGTTGTCACTTTATGCTTTATGGACACAATAAAGGGGAGAGTTCCTCCTCCAAACATTACCGAAACAGTGTGTAAATCTGGGGCGATATCTGAAAATCATTTCTGCGGACGTGGGTTCTCTTTCTGTAGGGTATGTTTTCTTTTTTTTTTTTTTTAATTTTTTTTTTAATGTTTTTATTTATTTTTGGGACAGAGAGAGACAGAGCATGAACGGGGGAGGGGCAGAGAGAGAGGGAGACACAGAATCGGAAACAGGCTCCAGGCTCTGAGCCATCAGCCCAGAGCCCGACGCGGGGCTCGAACTCACAGACCGCGAGATCGTGACCTGGCTGAAGTCGGACGCTTAACCGACTGCGCCACCCAGGCGCCCCTGTAGGGTATGTTTTCTAAGCACAGCGTCAGTATATCAGGAAGAACAAGCACAGGAAAAGATAAGCTTCACTGGATATTACTTTTATCGAGGGTATGTTATTAACTTTGAAACTGGAAGCGATGGGAAGGACATGAATTCACCTTCAGGAAACTTCCTCGCGTCTCTCTTCGGCTTTATTTTCAAAGTCAGATTACAAGCTAATTTAAATTTCAGGCAGTCAATTACATTCCTCTTGACTTCACTGCTCATGATCTTTGCCAAATCAGCGCTCCATTCAGGGAGAAGCTATTTTATTTCTACTGCAGGCAGGTCTTCTTCTGAAGAGGAGAGTTTAAATTCCTTTTCCATGGAACAGCACGTGATGAATGCTTTTTATCATAAAGTCTGAGTCAAGCCTACACAAGTGGATTGTGTACTAAATTACATAGAAGGCTTTTAAGTTAACATCACAGAAATGGTCTGCACTAGGAATAAATGGCATAAAGTACCTAACAGGTGAGCGGAAAAGCGCCATAGGAGCTCAGAGGGTGGCAAGAGAAACTGTCCACCTGATACCTTGATGGTATCCACCGCATTTTCTAAAGCAGCACGGGCCATTTCAGTCACCTTCCTCCAAAGGCGAAGCATAATCTTTGCATTTGTTTTTAATGGTGTTTAACAGCAAATACAATTTGAGGATGCAATGTGAGTCGACGCCAGGCTTTAAAAGATGGTTCCTGGCGTTCCATGAGGACGAGCTGGGGGTACAGACAGTGGTTCTTAGTCAATTTTATTTTGTCTATAATGAGCACAGCGCTTCCAATCAAAAGGGTGGATCCTGGCTTTTGGGGTGAAGTAGACACAAAAATCTTCCGGGTTTTGCTTCTCCACCATTAGTGACGGGGGGCCCAATGGATGAGAATCGACACGCCAACTCCTTCGGATGCTCCAGATGAGAGGGCCAACACCTCCTGCCTCAAACCCCAGCCGAGGACAGGCCAGGGAAGGAAGCACAGAGAGGGAAGACCTTTCTTGATTTGTAGTTGCTACTGTTCTTCAAATGTCCTCATTTTCAGCAACGGAGCTGACACAGAATTTCTTCTCTGATTTTTTTTTTCCTTCGGAAACAAACGTAATTTCTGTTTTCCCCAAAGAGGCCAAAAGATGTTCGTGCTGTGTACCTTTTGGAAAGGATGTATTTTTCAAGGAAGAAAAAATACCACACCGACAACCAAGAGGGAGCTGTACTGAAGCACCGTCATTTTGAACCCTGGTTGGACCCAGCTGTGTGATATTAATTGGAATATCAATTAACTGATCTTCCTTTTTTGATTTACTAGTTTGGGGCTGCTCTGTAGTCTGTGCTCACTCAGGCCTTCGTACATATTTCTTTTCAGCATTGTTCTCTGACCCAAATTGCAGTGAAATGGAATGCATTACACCAAATTTTTCATATCTGAATAAACTGAACTCATCCAACTGCAAAACACATTCCACCTGCAAAATTCCATGTCAGCGTCAAACATCCGTGATATTTCACACTTTGTGTTCATGTGTCCCACTGTATGGAACCTAGACGGTGAGTCACCTGTGTTCCCACCGATAAGAAAGTGTCCTCCTCCTCCTCGGGAAGGACACTAAGCTGTTCCAGAAAGACATGAAAGGCCAACACTATGGTGTTAGTAAGAAGCAACTGTTAGAGCAATGACCCAGAAGAGTCCAGAAATAGATCCACAAATACACAACTGATTTTTGTAAAAGGCACTCGGACAATTCAATGGAGAATGATATGTATTTCAATAAATGATGATGGAACAGCTGGATACTCATTAGAAAAATAGTAAACTTTGACCCTTACTTCACACCAGAAGTATAAACCTGAGATAGATCATAGACCTACAAGTTAAAATCTAAAACTGTAAAGCTTCTAGAAAAATCAGATGAAAATATTTTTGCAACCCCGAAGTAGATAAAAATTTTCTAGAGTCACGAAAAACACTGTTAAAAAATTGACAAATTGATGGGGTGCCCGGGCGGCTCAGTCGGTTAAGCGCCCGACTTCGGCTCAGGTCATGATCTCACGGTTTGTGGGTTCAAGTCCCACGTCGGGCTCTGTGCTGACAGCTCAGAGCCGGAAGCCTGCTTCGGATTCTGTGTCTCCCCCCCCTCTCTCTGCCCCTTCCCCACTCACACTCTGTCTCTCTCTCAAAAATAAACATTAAAAAACATTTTTTTAATTAACAAATTGGTCGTTGACCAAAGTCAAAACTTCTGCTCATCAAGTGACACTATCGAAAAAATGAAAAGGCAAACACCAAATGGGAGAAGTAGATCTATTACTTACATCTGAAAAAGAACTTTTAGACAGAACCAATAAAGAACTATAAACCAGTAACAGAAAGACCAACAGTCCCACTTTTAAAAGGGGAAAAAGGCTTGAACAGACACTTGGCAAAAGAAGATACACAAAAGACGTGTAAGCACACAAAGAGGTAGGTACTCATCACCATTAGTCGTGAGGGAAACACAAACTTAAACCCCAAAAGACACTAGCTCATGATGTGGGAAACAAAGGCAAAGTTAAATTTCCCTACAACTGACAAGTCCTTGAGACAGGCAGGGTGACCTTCTTCTGAGAGCTCCACTGTCTTGATGTGGACACTCGGCTAAGGGAAATAGACAATCTTAGCCCGACCCCCTAGGATCCTGTGAGTCTACTTTAACATATAGAAATTCGTTTGGAAACGTCCTTTATTTATCTCTACCTCTCCAAGATATATGTTTCCAAGCATATGGCCCACTGATCTACATCTGGAGGGTGTCATGACTGAGAGTTTACGAGACAGTTGTAAATGACCTTTTCCTAACCATAGCTAGCCTCCTCAAGGTCCTGGAAACCTTGCTTCCAAAATTCCTTAGAGACTTATGCTGTTCCTAACCCTCAACCTGAAGGTATAAAATCCGTCACCCATCATAGTGTCAGGGCAGCTCTTTCTGCCCACAGGTCACATCCCTGTGCTTTGACAAAACCACCTTTTTTTGCACCAAAGTCGTCTCAAGATTTCTTTCCGGGCCGCCGGCTCTGAACCCCATCACTTCAAACCACATCAGTTCGCAGCCACTCAAATCACTGAAAATAAAGAGGCAACACCAAATGTCCGCGAAGACGTGGAATAACTGGAACTTTCACGTGGTGCTAATGGGACAGTCGGAAGCTAATCAAACATCTGGCCTCTGAGCCAGCAATTCCACTCAGGGGTCGTGTCCGAGATACAGGAAAACATCTGTCCAGTTGAGCGATGCTCGTAGCAATTTGATTCAAAATGTCCAACTGGAAACAAGCCAACTATCCATTAACAGAAGATCAGAGAAAACCCAACCGCGCTATTTATACACACTGGGGTGCCACTCAGCAGTAAAAGGACCCAGCCACTGAGAGAGACGACAACATGGATGAATCTCCAAGACATGATATTGAGTGAAAGGAAACAGGACAAAGGGCATTTACTGTGATTTCACCGATACACGATTTAAAAACAGATAAAACT